AAATTAAGGAGAACTGGGTGGGGTAGGTGAATGTGTACAAAATTACATGCCTGAGGTTAAATTCTTGCTTCTTTCTGGAGGTCATGGCCAGCAGATTTTTGAAATTAAGCTGATGTAGAGTTTTGCCAGGTGTTATGGCTATTCATGGGGATGCTGGGAGACTCTAGGTACCCAGGAAAGGGGAGATGGTCCTGTGTCGGAGGGCCTGTGAGCTAATGGGATTGGACCACAAAGAAGTTGTATGTCCCAGGTCTCAAGGTCTCCTCCCATTAGCCCCAGGCTTGCCTATTGTGTACTATTTACCTGAACATAATTCTAGAGATGCCCTCTGTGTCTGTCAGTATCTGGCCTCTATGAGGATCATTAGCATCATGGGAAGCTTGAAGTGTCTGGAACGTGAGTGCTCAGAAACCCTCCCAGGAAGTCAGAAGGGCTGTCTGTGTATTCTAAGTTCCAAGTCCCTTTCAGTTAAAAAAAAAAAAAAAAGAAAGAATAGTTACTATAAGTTAGCATCCCTAATTATCTAATCTAAAATATGAAATTCTTCAAACTCTGAAACGATTTGTGCTGATCTTATATCACAAGTGGAAAATTTAGCACTATGAAGCTGTTCTATCATTAAACATAGTATATATAAAGTTGTCTGCAGTCTGTGTATGTAAGGAGTCTGAAATGTCAATGAATTTCATGTTTTTACTTCAGTCCCACCCCCAAGATGTCTTAGATGCAAGCAAATATTCCAAAATATGAAAAAACACTGAAATCTGTCATCTTTCTTGTGCATTTCACATAAAGGACACTCAATCTTCATTGGTTGGTTTCCTCTGATGTACCAGAAAATGTGCTAAATGCTTTGCATTGACACCTCATCTCCATAACAAATCACAGACACAGTTCAGGCTGACGTTACAGATGAGAACATGTAGTATCAGAACACTTGCAAGAAGACTGTGTTAGTCATCTTCCATCACTACAGCACATACCTGAGAGAAGCAATTTATAAAGAGAAAAGGTTTCTTCTGGCTTAATGTTTCTGAAATTTCATTCTATGATAGAGGGGCTCTTGCTTTGGGCTGGCAGCAAGGAAATAGATCATGGCAGGAGCATGTGGCAAAGGAAGCAAAAGAGAAGGGGAGGAGGGGGCTTAAAAACTCTTTCAAGGGCATACTCCTAAGGACCAAAGGGCTTCCAAGTAGGTCCTGCCACTTACCTGCTCCCAACAGAGCAACCCAGTGGACCAAGCCTTTAACACATGGGCCTTTAGGGGAACTATGAAGATCTAAATTGTTGTAAGGACACTGAACCAAAGTGCTAGAAGTTGCATTCAAACCCTCACCTGCTTTTGTGTCTCAAAAGCATGAGCTCCCCTCTGTGCTGGACACTCTACTTAAAAACAAAACAGACACCACAGATCATTATCACAGCAGTGCAAACAATTCAGTCCATTAGCCACCTGTCTTTTGTGAATATGTCTATTCTTCAAGCTAATTATCTGTTTGTGTGATGTATGTCCTCGAGTTACTTAGTGAAAACATTTGATAAGCCTGATTTCTTAGGATAAAATTTCAAAAAATATTATGAAACCCAAATTTACGTTGGCATGTAAACAACCAATTATGTACCTAGTGGTACAAGCTTCCTGGAATCTATGCTTTTCAAATGATGAGTCATGGTTGATCAGTGGGTTATGAACTAGCTCCAGTGGGTCACGGACAGCATTTTAAAGAATGGAATAGGATAAAATATCTGGGAGGGAAGAACAGAACAGATCAGAACAGAACAGAGCATAGTAATGTCAACAATGCACTGCACACAACGAGGATAAGTATGTTTTATATACTTTCCATTTCAGTGACATACATGCATACATTTTAGTTTGTTTCTCTGTTGCTGTAATAAAGCACTCTGACCAAAACCAACTTGTGGGGGAAAGGGTTTATTTGACTTACATGTTCCAGTTGCAGTTAATCATCAATGAAAGCCAGGACAGGAACTTAGAGTAGGAACCTGGAGGCAGGAGCTGAAGCAGAGACCATAGAAGAACTCTGCTTATTGGTGTGCTCCTCTGGCCTGTGCTCAGCCTGCTTTCTTATACAACCTAGGATCACATGCCTAAGGGTGGCACCGCCCATAATGGGCTGGACCTGACCACATCTACCAACAATTTAGAAAATGCATCACAGACATGCCCACAGGCCATTCCAATGGAGGAAAAGCCTCAGCTGAAGTTCCCTCCTCCCAGGTGTGTGAGGTTGACAACTGAAGTTATCTAGCACAGCATATGTGCATATGCTTTAGCCATAGGTCAGAGTTTTTTAAAAAGATAGATTTGGAAAGAGGGATGTGAACAGGTACAAACTTCAAATTGCTTACTGCTGTTTTCTGTGATGTTCCTTTCCCTTTAGTACCTAACAGAACCACCCTTAGCTTATCTTCATTGAGGTATTTTCAAGTCAAGCTTTCTGGACCGATCTCTGTGCAAATGTTCCCCCCATCCCCCACCCCCCAGCTCCCCCAGATCCTTCATCCGATGAATGTGCCTGCTGGATTCAAAACATGTTTTGGACATTCGGGGAGGGTAAAGCAACAGTTCCAAAAGCTGTGGTAAGTTAGTAGCAGACTTGGAACCAGAATTCGATTATTTATGGATTCTTTTCAGGCTGCAAAGAGGAGGGAGCAGTGGCTCTCATACCAAGCTCAGTGAGCAGCTGTTCCTTTGTAGATGGATAGCAAAGAAGAGAAATAGATTTTTACTACAGCGGGAGGGACCAAGCTGAAACTGGGGAGGGATGTCCTGGAATAGGCCCAGCTCTGGGTACTGCAGCAGAATAGATGAGTCTGGGATTTTTTTCCCTCAACCTAAGATGTCTAAGATGTCCTACTTATTTGACCATTTTCTCTCTCTCTCTCTCTCTCTCTCTCTCTCTCTCTCTCTCTCTTCCTTCCTTCTTCTCTCCATCCCTCCCTTGCTCCTTCCTTCCCGCTCCCTCTCTCCATTAGCAAGTGTAATCTCCAGATTCCTATGTTCCTGTTCTCAGCCATGGGTGGATCTGGTGAATCCTGTGGTGCCCTGCTGGGCTGCAGTTAGCTTTGCTTCTCACCCGGATGTCAAATCAAGCTAGCAGCAGCTGTGATCAGCTGCTGGAAGCCAGTGGGGCTGAGCACAGTGAGGTGGAAGCTCCTGGCTCCTGGCCAAATCCTAGTGGAAAGATTACTGTCTGCTATGCCGTTTGTCTCTTTCTGTTGCTGGTTCTATTGCTCTGCCCTTTTCTGTCTGTGTGCATGCATTTCTCTTCTCCCTAAGATGATCTTGTTTCATGTCTCCTTGGAAACCAGAATTCATCATGCTTATACATGAACATTTTACAACAGATGGTTCATTCAGGGTAGGGTAATGGACCAGAGAGTCTATGTGTGTGAACTCCACCCCAACTTTGGCTCTTGGTGAGGTGCTCTGGGATGACAGGGAAAAGCCTGGATCCAGCCATACTCTCATCTTTATGTTGCCTCTGTCTCCTACTGTCCATGAATCCTTGATCAAATACTTGAACTCTGAGTCCAGATTCCTAACATGCTTTATGGGGATATTAATGCCTATGTAAGGATATTGGGAAGATTAAATGACGAAACAAGCAGAAAAGCCTTTTCTTTTGCCCAGGCATGGATAAATGCTGCATGCCCTGTGTATGAAAGTTTCTTCCCCAATCCCTCATTGGACAGAGTCTCTACTCTGTCTTTCTTAGCAACTACACACACTGCTAGGGGGCCAATTCTTCCTCCAGCCCAGAGCTTGTCTTGCTTTTATTGAGCATTGAAGACTTGCTAAGTTCCATGGAGACAATGGGTTTCAGAAGGGCCACCATGCTGGTACCAGCCCTTGCAATTTTTCCAGGCTTAGAAAAGGACCTATTTGTAACACAGTCACTGTAGAATGAGAATGAAAAGACAGAGTGATGGAGAACAACACCCCAGGCTTCTCCATGGGTCTGAGGAAGAGTCAGGGGCTTATGTTAGGCATTGATGCTCTGTTTTATAAACGATGTGGACACATGATGAAAATAGTTCATGTAAAGACTATAGGTCACCAGTGGTTCTATCTTATCCTCCACCCAAATTCACCAAGCCTTCAACTTGATCTGGTTCAGACTTACTTTGGGTTCAACAGTACAGCTGGAAAGTCAAGCTGACTTCAAAGCCACTAGCTGAGGAGAAACCCAGGGTGACCTGTTGGTGCCTGCATTGTTATAGAGCCCAGAGCCTATTATGGGAACCCTGTGAGGCACCTGTTGTGATCTGGGAGCACATCATGGGGATCCATATGGCCCTACAGGCCTTGGGTACTCTTGTTATCCCTGGGCTCTTCTTGGAATTGCAACCTGACATCAGAGGAAGCTTTGGGAGGTGTTGGGAAGAGATTAGGAAAAAGACATCTCCAGGCTGACTTCTGTAGACTTTCTTTTAGTCCACTGATGATTGTTGATTAGGCTGTGGATTTCCCCTCTGTCTCCTAAGAGCCCCAAACCTCACTGTCTTACCCAGAATACTCCTTTTCCCTCAGTCTCTTCCTAATCTGTTATTTATTTATCACTAATTTTATCTATTTATTTAGTGAGTGTGTATGTTCATATGTGTGTGCATGTGTATGTGTGTGCAGGTAGGTGCATGTGTGTGTATGGGGTGCACATGTGCATGTGTGTATAGATGCCAGAGGTCAACCTGAGGGTTGTTTCTCCGGAGATGTCTACCTTGGTTTTATAAGGCAGGGTTTCTAAATGGGACCTGGGTCTCACCAGTTAGGCTAAAATGGTTGGCCAACAAGCCCCAGGGACCTGCCTGACTCTACTTCTCCAGCACTAGGATTTCAAGCACATACCACCACACTCAACTTTATAGGATCAAACTTAGATGCTCATGCTTGTGCAGCAAACACTTTGCCCCTGAGCTATTTTGCCAACCCTCAGTCTCCACCCAATCTTAATACCACATCTCTGTTTGGGCAGGTTCAAGGATTACCGAGAGCCACCATGGGCTCCGAACCCATATGAGTTTTCCAAGCAGTACTGGTCTGTTCTGTCTGCCCGACTGGCCTTTGTTATCATCTTCCAGGTGAGTCATTCAAATAAGGGGTAGCCAGTTAGGATGCCGGCTACGGAGGTGAAGAAAGCCCTGGTGTCTTGCCTGCCCCTCACATCCAGATGTTCATGGTACAGTCATCTCTTGGTATCCACAAGGAATGGCTTTAAGACCTCCTTGTGATGCCAAAATCTATGGGTACTGAAATCCTTTGGATGAAATGACATTGTATATATTGTATGCGTTACAATATCACATATATATATATATATATATAACTTGCATCTATAACATATATAAGTACATTGTATATATAAATTATTTCACATACAATGTGTACACCTTGTCTCATATACTTTAAATCATCTCTAGATGACAGAATAGCTAATATATGTAAATTCTATGTAAGCAGGTGTGCTGCTGTGCTACCTAAGAAATAATACAACCAGAAGCCTGTACACATCATTGTTGATACAATTTCATTTTCTGATATTTTTGATCCATGATTGGCTGACTCTGCAGTGGCTACAGAGGCCACCTCTGCTCTGTGACATTGAGGCCTTCGCATGTGGCAGGCAGTAGTAAATGTTCCCTCCCTGGGTGAAGGAAAAAGACTCCCAAGAGAGAGCCTCTTTGAATGAGTGGGTTTGGCGGAAAGATAATAAAACCCAGAGTAAAGTTATTGGACAGATGTAGAGTAAGTTGCAGAGTGAAGATACTTTCCCATTTAAATCTAAGATGAAGAAGGGAAAATAGGAAACCATTGAAACCAGAGTCTCAGCCCTGGTGCAGACAAACAGCCCATCCCCTCTGCCAGCTTGAGAAAGGGCTCAAGTTCTAAACCTTTCTTCCTGAGCTCTTGGGTCCCTCCTTTGTTAGCATTGTTTGCCATAGAGACATCTGGTGGGAAGGGCACCCCCACAGGGCCATTTAGCCACCCCCGGAATGAATAGCAAACTCGGAGCTCAGTGATTCCTATCTTTGACAATAGTCACAGCTCCAATTGCGTAGCTGAGATTCTCTGAGCTCCAGGGCCCCCAATTCCCACTCAGGGTCCTGCCAGTCTTTGAGCAGGGCCACAGCACAAACCCAGATCTCTTTCTCTTCAGCTCCCTCAGGCTTTTGTATTCCCTGAAGGCAGGTCCCTGGGGGGCTCTAAGGTATCCAGCTTCCCCAGACCCCAGTCCAGCATGTAGAGAAGCCCATCAGCTAGTCTTTCACATAAAGAAGACGCCATTCTTCCTCAGCAGAGATGGGGTGATATGTTTGAAAGACCATCCAGACATACCCCTGCTGCCCCGCCTGCCTGCATATCCTCCCTTTCCCATATGTCACACATTTCACTGGTCATATCCACAGAGGTGGGTAGAGGAAGAGCCTAAATGTCTGGGAGCCTGTGAAAGCAGTTGTCCCCAAATTCCTCTCTTGAGCTCCCAGGAGCATGTGTAGGTCAAGGGCGGTTACTGCCTTGATTTCTTAGAGAGGAGAAGACACACAAATGTGTAGTTTGTGGGCAGAGAAGACTATCACAAGTTGAGGAATATGTTGGGTAAATGTGTGGGCAGAGTGGATTTGAGAAATAAGCAAGAATCAAATCATGCTGACCTTTATTGGGCCATGCCAGGCACTGTAGTCATGAACTCATTCACTCAAAGGAAAAATGCTCCCAGGAAAGATTGTCCTTGCCTTTGTATCCCTGGGATGTGGTTCAGCAAGCAGAGAAAGGAGCCCTCTGCAAGTATACACAAAAGCCTGAGATGGATCAGAGAGGCCTGGATGCAGGGAGCCCCCAAATGGGGCAGAATGAGGAGCCCATGAGTGGTAGGAGGGTTGGGTTAAGGCTGGAAGTCAATGAAAACACCTGCTATAGAGGACAGAGAGACAGCTGGAGGGAAGAAAAGGGCAGTTGTCACTGTCATAGCCTTAGAGAGGCCACTGGACTCAGTGATCACTTTCCAGGAGGCTCCAGTCTAGAACAAGGAAAGCATGAAGGGTCAGGGACATGTGAGGACAGTCTATGGATGGTGGGACTGTATACTACAAACTCTCTTGAAACGAAAAGGCAAGACTGCCACTTACCATGTCTTGCTATGTGCTAGGCACTGTGGCTGATGTTTGACATGTATTGACTCAATACTCACAGTTTCTTCAGAGGTGGGTAGGAGTTATAGTCATTTTACAGCATTATCATTGAGGACACTGAGGGACATTTGAACTTATTGGTGGAAATCACTCAGCCAATCAGTCACTTGGCATTCTGCTTAGGCTCCCCCTTCCTCACCAAGTCCCACATCTCAGGGTGGTCACTCTGAAGGGGCAAGGGTGGACAGTGTGGGCGCCTGTGACCATGTGCATCACACTAGCACGCTAGGGCTTTCTAGCTTTCTTCTCACCTTTCTCCCTTGCTTTGGCAGAATCTCGTGATGTTCCTCAGTGTCCTTGTGGACTGGATGATCCCAGATATCCCCACAGACATCAGTGACCAGATCAAGAAAGAGAAAAGCTTATTGGTGGACTTCTTCCTGAAGGAGGAGCATGAGAAGGTCAAGCTCGCTGACGAGCCCACCCAGAGGAGCCAGGGCGGTGGGGATCGGAGCAGGAGGAGCCGTGCAGCCAGCTCAGCACCCTCGGGCAGGAGCCAGCCAGGCAGCATAGCATCCTCCGGGTCCCAGCACACCAACGTGTGAGCCTACAGCCCACTACAGAGGAGGACCTGGTAGCAGTGACACGTATGCGCACACATGTTCCTACAGCACAACTGTTCCTCTCCATCTGCCGGGAACTGGCTTGCAGGTGTCTTGAAAAGAGAGAAAGGAGAATGAAGAGTGGGGGGGGGGGGGCGGG